GTAGTTGGACTTTTCCCCAGCTGTACTCCTCCCTATCTAATCTTATATTGTTTGGTACCTTGAGGGCAAAGCCAAAGAGAAAGTCCAAAAACAGAAAGAGCAGCTGACAAGAAAATAAAATTACCAAGAAGTATTAAAAATTGTAGAAAGGTACTACAAGCAGGAAGAATGAAGAGAAAACAGAGAGAATGAGTTATAGTAAAAGGTAAAGCTGTAAAAGAGATGGAACACAAAAACCAAAAAAGAAAGAAATGGAGTAGAAGGGAGATTTGCTTAAAACTTGTCCCTGTTTTGAGACTTCAGAAGCAGTGAAGGGAAAGAGAGATTGCATATTCAACTAATAAAGTTTTAGTAATAACAGTAAAAATTTAGGAAAGGGGAGGTTATTCATGCTTATCATATTAAATATTAACATCTACTTAAATATTCTGAATCCAAAATTTCCAACAAAAATGTTACTAAATTACACTATTCATTTAAAAAATATTTATACCTAAGTATCAGTATTCTGAGAAGCAGAGTGCTTTAGGAGATTTAAAGGTAAGTAAGATACATTTCTAGTCTTCAGGAGCTTATAATATACTAGGGAAAGAGCTAGAAGGCCAAAAACTCAAACTATCTGCATATAGCAACAATGAAAACAGTGGCATGTAAACAGGATTTCAAAGGACTAGTAAGATTCCAACAAAAAAATACCGTAGGAAAGAGAAAGCAAGAAAGGGCATTCATGTAAGTCTTCATTGATCTTTAATCTAACCATACTTTCATATTCTGCAAATGTTTGGTGCTAAGGATTGAACCTAAGGCTGCAAAAATACCAAGTATATACTCTCTGACTGAGCAATAACCCCAACCCCCCAAAACTGAGACTGTACTGCAGTTTGAACTCAAAGCCTCATGCTTGCACTGAGCCACACTCCACCTCCCAAATATTTTTTGTCAGTCAGGAGGCTTGAACTCAGAGTCTGGACACTGGACAGTGTCTCTGAGCCTCTTTGTGCTCAAGGTTAGCCTTCTACCACTTGAGCCACAGCACCATTTCCAGCTTTTTCTGAGTATTTTTTGGAGATAAAAGTCTCGTGGACATTTCTGTCTAGGCTGACTTTCAACCATGGTCCTCAGATATCAGTCTCCAGAGTAGCTAGGATTACAGACATGAGCCACCAGTTACCGGTTCTAAATATTTCTTAATGATATAAATTGGGTTATTTGTATGGCTGGAATAACTTAAAACATGATATTCCTGTCAGGTTAAGATAATACTCTGGAGTGGAATATCAGGTATTATTAAATAAAAAGATTGTTTTAATAACTTTAAGCTAAAATTCAAGTCCTAGAGCCGGGCGCTGGTGGCTCACGCCTGTAATCCTAGCTACTCAGGAGGCTGAGATCAGAGGATCGCGGTTCAAAGCCAGCCGGGGCAGGAGAAACCGTGAGACTCCTATCTCCAATAAAACGACCAGAAAGCTGGAAGTGGCGCTGTAGCTCAAGTGGTAGATCGCTCGCCTTGAGCTGAGGGACAGTGCCCAGGCCCAGAGTTCAAGCCCCACGGCCGACCAAAAAAAAAAAAAAATTCAAGTCCTAGGAAATGATGGAAGAGGTGACATTGATCAAGATGCACTGTACTCATAACCTGACTTACAGAGTTAGAACTTCTTTGTACAACTTCTTAATAATAATATAAAAATACTAGGATATCAAAAATCTCCAGCAAAAGGTCTTGGGGAATTATATGTCTACTTAATAAGGGTGGGTATAGTAATAACCATCATCAAGTGATAAGAAATGCTTTTGGAGGGGCTGGGAAGGTGGCTCAGTGGTAGAGCGCTTGCCTTGCATGAATGAGGCCCTGGGTTCAATTCCTCAGCACCACATAAGCAAAAAGAAAAAAGCCAGAATTGGCGCTGTGGCTCAAGTGGTAGAGCGCTAACCTTGAGCTGAAGAGCTAAGGAACAGCACCCAGGCCCCACGACTGGACCACCCCCCCCAAAAAAAGAAATGTTTTTGGACAAAAGACTCTTGTCTAAGAACAAATCTCAAATTGTTCAGAGAATAGCCATGCCAAACTTGGGCTGTTCTTGACAACATACTCAATCTGAGAGAACATTTCTCTTTAACATTCCTTCTAATACATGCATGCTACCTTCCAACATTTGGAGATTCAAATTAAACCCTGCCTTCAGTATATTAAGCATTTTTCCATTTGGAGTATCTTTGGAAACTCGTGCCCTCTTCCTTTTACTAGCCCAAACCCACACAATGAAGCAGGTGGTACTTACTTTGTTTTCCCTTTTGTAGCAAAAAAAACTCCTAAACAAGTACAAATACATCTGAGCTTTCATTTAATGTAATGGGTACAATATATATTACACATCCGTTGAAATTGACCCCTTCAATAAGAAAAAAATTGGGGGAATGCCGGTCCTGGGGCTTGGACTCAGAGCCTAGGTACTATCCCTTAAGGCTTTTTGCTGATCAATTGGAGATAAGAGTCATAGGGATCCTTTGCTGCCCTGGTTGGCTTTGAACCTCCATCCTCAGATCTCAGCCTTCTTGAGTAGCTAGAATGACAGGGTGAACCACTGGCACCCAGCATCATTAAACTTCTACCAGGAGCATGTAACTCAAATAGATATAAAGGAAGATACTAGTGTGGTAAAATATTTAAACAAAGTTCTTCTAAAAATTAAAGATTTCTTTCCTTTTTTTTTTTTTTTTGTCAGTCGTGTGACTTGAACTCTGGGCCTGGGCGCTGTCCCTCAGCCTTTCAGCTCAAGGCGAGCACTCTACCAACTGAGCTACAGCGCCACTTCTGGTTTTCTGGTGGTTTATTGGAGATAGGAGTCTCACGGTCTCTCCTGTCCGGACTGGCTTTGAACCTCAATCCTCAGATCTCAGCCTCCTGAGTAGCTAGGATTACAGGCGTGAGCCACCAGCACCCGGCTAAAATTAAAGATTTCTAAAAATAATTGATACAAATTTTCAGTGCTTTCTATGTGTAAAGATCTATCCTTGACAGCCAGGTGCCAGTGGCTCAGGCCTGTAATCCTAGCTACTCAGGAGGCTGAGATCTGAGGATGGAGGTTCAAAGCCAGCCTGGGCAGGAAACTCCATGAGACTCTTGTCTCCAATAAACCACTAGAAAACCAGCAGTGATGTTGTGGCTCAAGTGGTAGAGTGCTCGCCTTGAGCTGAGGGACAGTGCCCAAGCCCAGAGTTCAAGGCCCACGACCGACAAAAAAAAAAAATCTATCCTGGCCATTTTAATCCTTAACACAGCCTATGAGTTAATAAGTAGTAGTATTGGGGTTGGAGGCATGGCTCAGGTGGTAGGGTGCTTGACAATGGTTGTAAAGCATTAGAAACTGAGTTTGAATCCGGGTCTTGAACAACAATTACAACAAAAATTAGTATTATTCCTGTTTTTACAAATGAAGAAGCTAACTAACAATTGTCAATTCTCAAGTTGGTAGTAATGGTCCACTTCTGCTTAGGCAAAAGGATTTCTGTCTGAGGCTGTCCCTAAGCAAAAAGCATGAAAATCTATCTGAAATTTTAAAGTAAAGCAAAAAGGGATGGAAATGTGACTTAAGTGGTAGGGCACTTGCCTGAAGCACTGAATTCAAATCCTAAGATTTCAGCCCACCCACCCACAAACAGCTGTCCTTCCTCTAAGACCAGAGTTACCAAGTGGACACAACATTCAAACTCAGTCGGACTGTTTGTGCACCAGTAGCTCACATCTGTAATCCTGGTTATTCAGGAAGCTGAGATATGAGCATCAGTTTGAAACCAGCCAAGATAGGAAAGTCTGTGAGACTCTTTGTGTGTGTGTATGATGTGCGTGTGTGTCGGTCATGGGGCTTGAACTCTGGGCCTGGGCGCTGTCCCTCAGCTCTTCAGCTGAAGGCTAGCGCTCTACCACTTGAGCCACAGCACCACTTCTGGTTTTGTGAGACTCTTGGAATTAACCACCAAAAATCCAGAAGTGGAGTTGTGGTTCAAGTTGTAGGGCACTAACCTTGAGAAAAAAACCAAAACTAAACTAAACTCAGGGACAGTACGCAGGCTCTGAGTTCAAGCCCTCGTACCAGCGGGCAATATGAGGTGCTGGTTATATTATCATTCCTATGTCTCCTTTTCCAACAAGAGTTCCTTCAGCAGAGTCTTGCTCACCTCTATGCTGACTTCCCACGGGCAAAACCACGATGCGGCATAACATGTCTGACGCAGGGCCGGGCTCAATCTCCAGCGTGCTGGGATTGCAAGCTTGCACCACAGCGCGTGGCTGAAAGCCGGACTCAATGAAGTCTGTCAAGTTTCCTGGCGCCAAAAACCCAGGTGGGCAGGTTTTCAGCCTGCGTTTCTCCGACTGAGACACTCATTGCCTCCCCGGGGCCGCACTCGGGCAACAGGCCCAGGAGAGGGGAGGGTCTGAGGCCTAACCAGGCCGCGGCGCCTCGACTGAGGCTCACGGGGCGGGCTGAGGAAAACAGCACAGTAATAACGGGTTCCAACCGACTTCCAGACGGACCACAGCCAGCAGGGCATGATGGCCGGCCTGGTCGCCTTCCAAGGAGAGGGAAGAGAGCTAGGAAACTCAGCAAAGGAATTCCCAAAGCTTGGTCGCACACGCGCTTTGCGCCTCTCCTCACGCGACCGCCCGCGAGGGAAGCCTCGCCGCCTGCGCGTGCGCGGCAGGCTCACTTCGCCCCGCCTCCCTTGCTCACGTGACCCAGATCGCGCTCTTCGCGCCTCATCTCACGAGGCGCCGCCAACCCGGCCAACCGAGGCGAAACTAGCCGACTGCGCGTGCGCGACAGTCCACCCTCATCCTCCCCAGCTCACGTGATCCGCCGTCGCCGGTAGCCCGCGCGGGCATCTCAAAGAGCGCGTGCGCGACCGGTTCCACTTCCCCGTCCCGTCAGGAGGCCCCTCCCTCCCACCCTAGACCTGCTCCTGCTTACCCAGATGTCCGAGTGCGCACGCGTGGCCCCGCCCTTCCAGTCACGTGTCTGCCGGCTCCGCGCGTCCTCGCTACAGGTTTCCCACCACCGGCTCCCGGAATCCGGCGTTCTGGCTGCCGCCATGACCCGCGCCGTCCTTCTCTCTCCACTGCATCCCCTCCTCCTGGGGCTCCTCCTCCTCTCCGCTCCGCAGGGCGGCAACGGCCTGCACACCAAGGGCGCCCTTCCCCTGGACACGATCACTTTCTATAAGGTAACGGGGCCGGGGACGTAGCGCGCAGGTGGCGCCCGAGCGGGGAGGGGACCCGTGGGACCGCGAGCCCGGGGCGGGGGGGGGGGGGGGGGAGACGTTGGGCGCGGAGGGCTGGGAGGAGGCGGCGACCGTGCCGAGACCACGTCAGCGCTTCCCGCCATCCTGTAGGCCCCGTGGAGTCCGGGGCCACCCGGCTCCTCGCGGCCGCGGAGAGTCGCGGAGGTGCGGCGGTGAGGGCCCTGTGCCCGCCTCTCCTTTGCCGGTGGGGCCGGGGCCGGGCGCGGCCCAATCCCCGAGCGAGGTCCGCGCCTCGGCGCTCCGCGGGGCGCTCGCTCTGCCCGGGGAGGGGGCTGCAGCCTGCTCTGCCCTCCGTCAGCCGCACCCATCTCCCTGAAAAGCGCCTCCGTTTAGAGTAAGCCCCACGGACGGGGTTTGGGGCCCAAGCGATAGAATGTCTGCCTAGCAAGGGCGAGGTCCTGAGTTCAAATCCCAGTACCACCACCGCCAAAAAAAAAAGCTCCAGGCCCGGCTCCGGTCCCGCACCCCTGTAGCCACAGCTGCTCAGGAGGCTGAGATCTGAGGATCACGGTTCGAAGCCAGCCCGGGCAGAAAAGTCCATGAGACATATCTCCAGTCAGCCACTAGAAAGCCGGACGTGGCGCTGTGGCCCAAGTGGTAGAGTTCAAGGCCAGTGAAAGAGCTAAGAGACGGCGCCCAAGCCGAGTTCAAGTCCCACGACCTACCCCCCCCCCCACACACACAAATGCTCCAGTTTAACCACTCTTTTTAAGGGAACATCCTGGGTTTGGGACATCCTGCCACCATTCCCCTTTCTTAAATTGTGGGATCCTGGTCTGGGTCAACAAGAGAGTGGAGATATTGAAGGCTGAATGTAAAAACCCCTCTTCTATCTGTCCACAGCCACGAGCCACCTTTAACTTCCTGTAACTAGGCAAGCTACTTGTTGAGATAGTTAAGTTTCTTATTTTGTAGTCGTTGGGGGGAAGTGATACCAAGAAGTGGCATTCTAAATATGTCTCTCCAGTGGTCGAAATCTTCGCTTATGGTCTGGTCACTTGTTCTAGTAATTTCCCAGTCTAGGTATAACAGGTTCATCACAAAGTGTGACAGAGAGAGACATTGTACCATGAGACTTACCAGTGTTTCCTCATCAGTGTGTGGTTCCGTTTTTACTGCTATGACCCTGACCTAGGCTTTCAGACTAGCTTCTGCACTGAACTGACCTGTTTCCACCTCAAAGCAAGTCTTAGATGATCTGCCCCAGCCATACAAACCGTCCTTCTGGCCTTCAAATACTCCTAGTTTCTTAGTGCCAGTACACTAGCTGATTCTTGTGACTGGAACTCCCCCCAACTCCCCAGGATTGAAAAGCCAGTTACTTCTCTTTGAGGCTTAGGTTAAAATGTTACTTCCTCAAACCCTAGGTTTTGGACACTCCTAGGCCAAAAGGTTAGGCATTGTTTTTTCAGTAGGGTACTTTAACTGATTGTTTTTTCCTTCCCAATTTTATCATCTGTCTTCAAACTAGCTTATTACATACCTGTGAAGCACCAGGTCGCTTTTGTTGCTGACCATGCACACAGCAGGTGTGTGAGAAGTTCAATAAAAACAATTGGTGAAATGAATGATTAGGTGTTTCCTCCAGTCTCTTGCAAAATGGCACTCTCCTCACTATCGAACACCGCGGGTTTTTTTTTTTTCTTTTCTTTTTTTTCTTGGGGGGGGGTCCAGTTGTGGGGCCTGGACTCTGGGCCTGGGCACTGTCCCTCAGCTCTTCAGCTCAAGGCTAGCGCTCTACCACTTGAGCCACAGCGCCACCTCCAGCTTTTTTCTTTTTGCTTATGTGGTGCTGAGGAATCAAACCCAGGGCCTCATGAATTCTAGGCAAGCATTCTACTACTGAGCCACCTTCTCAGCCCTCGAACACTGCGGTTTTGTCCAGCAGCCTTGTTCTATGCTTTGCCTTTTAGGGGTTTCTAATACCTTTTTGTTGTTGTTACCCTTTACAAACAGTGAAATGTCCACTCCTTTAAATAAGACCCTGTCTATTTTGAATGGTGTCTGGTCCATAATGGACCCTTTGCAACATTTTTTTGTCAGTTGTGGGGATTGAACTAAGACCCTTAGGTGCTGTCCCTGAGCTCTTTTGTTCAAGGCTAGCGTTCTGCCACTTGGAGTCACAGCTCTACTTCTGGTTTTTGAGTGGTTAATTGGAGATAAAAGTCTCACTTAGACTTTGCTGCCCAGGCTGGCTTTGAACCGCAGTCCTCAAATCTCAGCCTCCTCAGTAGCTAGGCATAAGACACCAGCACCCTACATTCCCAGAGCATCTTGAGTTACATACCAAGTTTATAGCCAACATGGGGTCCATGGTGAGACCTCTCTAGATGAATAAATGAAAAAAATGAGTCCAAAAATAGTCTCTGCTTTGAAGAAGGAAGTTGTTTGGTTGTAGGTAAAGTACCACAGTTACCTCAAAGATGAGAGAAGTGTGATTTCTAAAGCAGTTAAATACAGACTGCATAGAATAGAAAGTTCTTCATGCAAGTATTTGTTATTCAAAACCACTGCTTTATCCTTGTTAGCTAAGAATGTTGAACGTAAACATTTTCAGTTGTAGTGGTATTAGATTACTGTATGATTATTAATTTTGTCCTGTAATATAAGTATACTCCCCTCCCCTTTTTATTTTGCAACGTGGGAGGTGGGGGGAGGTCCAACCCAGGGCCTCATGTATGCTGGCAACCACAAACCACTGAGCTATGTCCCCAGCTCAAGTGTAGGCAGGTATTTGTGCAGGGAGACAGGTATGTTTGGGGTTTTTTTGTTTTGTTTTTTGTGGGTCATGGGGCCTGAACTCTGGGCCTGGGCACTGTCCCTCAGCTCTTCAGCTCAAGGCTAGCACTCTACCACGTGAGCCACAGTGTCACTTCCAGCTTTTTCTGCTTTTGTGGTGCTGAGGAATCGAACCCAGGGCCTCATGCGTGCAAGACAAGCACTCTACCATTGAGCCACCTTCCCAGCTCTATAGTTTTTGGGTTTTTTTTTTAAAGCATTTTCACCCTCCCCACTCCTACCTCTAGATCGTAGCACCTGCTTCCGAAGATGAGCAGAGTTCTGTTCATTCATCATACATTTCCAGACATGATGGGGCCCTAGGGATACAGAACCTAGGCCATAGAATGGCTGTATTCTCACCAGCATCTGTCCTAGTGGAGCGGATAGAAGCAAGCCAGTGGAAATTTCAGAGTGATAAACGCAGTGAAGAAGAGACATCAGGATGGAAGCTATGAAAGGAATGATGGAATATTAGATGATTAGTAGACTGTTAGAAGGCGACATTTGAACTGAGGCTTGTCTGAGAAAGTGGTGGCCTAGGAAGAGAATTCCAGCCAGCATAGCAAGCGGGGGTACAGCGCACTGCACTGAAACAAGGCCAGTTGAGCCACAGGGATGTGATCTGGTTTATATTTTAAGACTACCTGCTTTTTCAGCCCCTAAAACTCTGGCTTTTGGGTGTTAGTGACCACTCACAGCTTTTTCTGGAGGCTTCTCTACCTTGCATGTCTAGGCATTGTTAATAGTCTCCAAAACCTAAAGCCAGATGGACATCAATATACAAGTAGGGACCAACAAAAACATTCATTTAGGTTCTTTGGTTTCTGCTGGAATTATGTCATCTTGACATAATTATGGGTAGTGACTGCCTATGCTGAAAAGCTGAAAACCTGACAATGGTGATCACTAGAATAGAAAAAAAAAAGTTATGGGAGGAGAAGAAAGCAGTGTTTCTAACTAAAGTACCATCTACAGGAGCCCCCGAAGTAGAAACCACCACGAGTATTTGTCAACCTATACATGTTTTCTTTTTTTTTTTTAGGGGGGGGCAGTCCTGGGACTTGAACTCAGGGCCTGAGCACTTTCCTTTTGCTCATGGCTAGCACTCTACCATTTGAGCAACAGAACCACTTCTGGCCTTTTCTGTGTGTCTGGTACTGAGGAATCGAACCCAGGGCTTCATGAATGCTATGCAAGCAGTCCACCACTAAGCCACATTCCCAGTCCGATACATTGTTTCTATTCAACCCTGAAGAGGTATGAAATTCTAGCTAGGCACTAATGATTTAACACCTGTAATCCTAGCTACTCAGAAGCTGAGCTCTGGAAGATGGCAGTTCAAGGCCATCCTAGGCAGAAAAGTTCACTAGCCTCCCCATCCCAAAATATTATTTATTTATTTATGTTGGTCATGGGGCTGGAACTCTGGGCCTGGGCGCTGTCCCTCAGCTCTTCAGCTCAAGGCTAGTACTCTACCACTTGCGCCACATGCCACTTCCAGTTTTCTAGTGATTAATTGGAGATGTGTCTCATGGATGTGTCTCATGCTTGGGCTGGCTTCAAATTATGATCCTCAGATCTCAGCCTCCTGAGTAGCTAGGATGACAGGTGTGAACCACCACTGGCACCCTGCTCATAAAAAAATCTTATAAGCATTAGACTAAGGCAAAGAAGCCAGATACAAAAGGCTCTCTATTGTGTGATTCTATCACAATAAGCAAATCTATAAAGCTGCTGGGGGCAGGGAGGATGAGGTGGAGTACTTGCCTGGCTGCCACAGGGATTGGGGTGATGACAGTGATCTGCAAGTAGCTAGTATTGGGTATATAACACTGTCAGCACACTAAATCAGTATATCTTAGGCGAATTTTACTGCAATGGAAATGAAAATCTTGGTCTTCACAGCTTAGGACCCAGACGTCCAGTTCAAGGGAGCTGTGGTCTGGGGAGGGGACACAGGCCCAGCACGGGTCGTTCACCAACTTATCTGCCTGAACTTGCCTAGTTCACTTAGTCGACTCCTTTCAGATGGTTTGTTTTTGTCAGATTTCTGGTGCAGTGGGGTGACAGCAGGTGTGATGAGACAATGGAGTGCATGCTAAGGTCTTCTGGAACTTTCCAAAAGGGACTTGAGAACAGAGGCACTCATTTTGCTTCCCTATAACTTTGTCTATTCTAGATAGTGTTGTACATGTTCAGTTAGTGTGAACATACACCTGAGGTGCCCAAGGCTTAGCAGACAGTCACGAAATTAAGTGACTCAGTGGGTGAAATGAGTAAATAGTAGTTTGTGAGAGCCCGTCTCCTTCACGGGCTTGCTTGTTTCCAATGTTTCTGAAACAGGGGCCCCTTGGGAAAGAGAAATAGCCCCCCATGTTCCCGGAACACCCCACTTGCTCAGCTCTATGCGCCCTCAGGTCATTCCCAAAAGCAAGTTCGTCTTGGTGAAGTTCGACACCCAGTACCCCTACGGTGAGAAGCAGGATGAGTTCAAGCGCCTGGCTGAAAACTCGGCCTCCAGTGATGATCTCTTGGTGGCAGAGGTGGGGATCTCAGGTATGGATGAGCAGGATGACTGGGGAGGGCAGAGAGGGAGGAAGTTAGGAATGGTGTCCCTGCTCCCAAGGGAGAATAACCAGGGTCTCCCCAGGTGAGCCACTCCCAAGGGTTTAATGGGATTGTGGACATCAAGAATTCATCAAGTAGATTCTGGGCCTTTGGAACCTGAGGCTTAGCCTTGAAGTCTCCTTCCCCCAACCTTTACCTTCCACTTGGCTGGCCTTCAAGGTGCTGAGAACTTTGAAACTTCCCCTGAAGAGGACTGGGCCATGGGGCCTTTTAGTGGAGCAGCATAGTTGGCTCTGTCTTCACCTTAGCATTTATACCAAAACCAGGTCTGGGATGTGCTCAAATGATTGGAATTTGGCTTTAGCTCGAGTACACTGGCTTACTGTTAACTCAAGGGCAGCTCTGAACCACACTGACTTCTTTTTGGTGCCAACCTCAGGGTTTGAACTCAGGGCCTACGGGCTATCTATGAGCTGTTTTGCTCAAGGCTAGTGCTCTACTACTTGAACCATAGCTCCACTTCGTTTTTTTGGTGGTTAATTGGAGATGACACTATCACAGATTTTTCTGCCCGGGCTGTCTTTGAACCATGATCTTCACCTCTTGGTCCCCACAGTAGCTAGGATTACAGGTGTGAGCCACCGTGACCAGTCCATAGTGACAGCTTTTAATAATAAATGTAATAATTATCAACACTTAACAGGCTATACAGGTATGATCAAATTTTTCATCAATTGAACCCTGCTTGAGAAACAAGATGCGTTATCTCCACGTTCCATTTGAAAAGCTAAAGCCCTAGAAATTTAGTGACCGTCTGGCCCTGGGGTGTGGAGTAACTTCACCCAGTACTCCTAAGTGTTTTTCCTGGCGGCTGTGATCTCCCGGCCTAGAGACCTGCTTTCCCGGTACAAGGCTGGCACTTACCAAAGCTTGGTCATGGTAGAGATGGCTGGCATACTTTGGGGCAGCCAGTCAATTTTAACTGACTTCAGTCAATTCCCTTGGTCCTTTTTGAATAATGAATAACAATAGCTAAATGTTCACCCTGGTCACTGTGCTGTGTTTTATGTGTTTCCCTCTGTGATGAGTCTGGAGGAACCACTTCATAGAGGCATTGTGCCTCCCCCACACCCCCATTTTTTTTGTCATGACACTTGTTGCCAAGTGCACACCTTTAATCCCATGGCTTGAGGCCATCCTAGGAAAAAACCTAGCAAGACCTTATCTCAAAATATAAAAAGTCAGGGGTGTGGCTCAGTAACACAGTTGCCTAGTAAGTGTGAGGTCTGAGGTTCAATCCTCAATACTGTAAACAAAAAACACAAAAACAGCCCACTTGCTTATATTAATATCAACATTATTGTCCAGTAATAGTCAGTTGAGCCATTTCTTCTTGCCAAAGTATAAGAAATGAATTAATGGGATGGGAAGGTGGCTCAGTGGTAGAGCGCTTGCCTTGCATGCATGATGCTCTGGGTTCGATTCCTCAGCACCACATAAGCAAAAAGAAAAAAAAAGCCGGAAGTGGCGCTGGGGCTCACGTGGTAGAGCACTAGCCTTGAGCTGAAGAGCTGAGGGACAGCACCCAGGCCCAGAGTTCAGGTCCCACGACCGGACCCCCTTTCCCCCCCCCAAAAAAAAGAAATGAATTAATGCAGCTTTTGAGGACTGGTGTTGACTCTTAGGAAGGACAGATTTTAGCATAGAGTTCTTACCAGGTCTCAAGTACACAGGGACTTCCTCAATGATCACTTGCTTCAAGCCCCCATTTGTACAAGCCTCCTGTCCTCCAAACTCTACAGAGCTTCTGTGCTTTGGACTGCTTTCTCCCTGAGACATGCTTCCCAGATCTTCATGTGTTTGAGGGACATTCAGGTCGCTTGGCTGCTGGTACTTTCAGGCAAGCTCTATGATGACCTGCAATGGGCTTTGTTAGTGTTTTCATTGTGTCACGAGTCAGTTCATTTTACTTGTGCACTATCTCTCTTCTCACCTTTAGAATGAAAGAACCTGGATTTCTCACATTTTGAATCTAGGCCTCACACCTAGAACAGCTTTTGGCATCATACATAAAGATTAAATAACTTGATTAATGCCATAGTTATCCATGGCATAATTAGAATTCAGAACCTACTTTGAACTGCTCTACAGCTAAGACTAGTCCTCTCCACTCAGCCCCCAGAGCAGTGTTCTGCCCCAGATGGATATAGCCTTGCACCTCATCTCTGGTTTCTGCTCACAGATTACGGTGACAAGCTGAACTTGGAGCTGAGTGAGAAATACAAGCTAGACAAGGAGAGCTACCCAGTTTTCTACCTCTTCCGGGATGGGGACTTTGAAAACCCAGTCCCCTATAGTGGGGCGGTAAAAGTTGGAGCCATCCAGCGGTGGCTAAAAGGGCAAGGGATCTACCTGGGTATGCCTGGCTGCCTACCTGTGTATGATACCCTAGCAGGAGAGTTCATCAGGGCCTCCAGCATGGAGGCTCGCCAGGCCCTCTTGAAACAGGGGCAGGACAACCTCTCAAGTGTGAAGGAGACTGAGAAGAAGTGGGCTGAGCAGTATCTAAAAATCATGGGGAAGGTGTTAGACCAAGGTGAGGACTTCCCAGCGTCTGAGATGACCCGGATCACCAAGCTGATTGAGAAGAACAAGATGAGTGACGGGAAAAAGGAAGAGCTCCAGAAGAGCTTGAACATCCTGACTGCCTTCCAGAAGAAGGGGGCTGAGAAGGAGGAGCTGTGAAAGGCTCCAGTTTCCTAGGGTTTGCTGGGGATAGGGAGGGAAGAGTTACCTGTTGGCCTTGAGACCTATGTAGTATGGATGGGGGGAGGGGGGTGAGGAGTTGGAAAAGGTGTTATTAAACCTGAGCCCTGAGTGTGTCTGGACGTTAGCCATGCTTGGGTATCTCTCAAGCCCATCTGGGGAGAGCTGATGGCTCCACTCGGACAGCCAGCAAAAGGCCCCCTGGGAAGGAATTGGTGCTATATAAAGAGGGTACTGTCCACATCCACTACGAGAAGTTTCTGATCCAATAAACATCCCTGTGTTTGGTTAAGAGCTGCAGCCATGTGGGTTTCTTTGAATTATACTTAGGCTTTTTTGGATTTTTAAGCTGGTATCTACTCCAGGTTCCTGGTAATCCTGCTGCAAGGCAGATTCTAGCACAAGAGAAAGCCTCTGTTGATTTCCACTTGTTATTTTCTACTCTTGTAAGTTAACTGTGGCTCTTAAATATGTTGCCTATCTTCTTGTCCTTAAAATTCAACACTAAAGAACACAGCAGTTAATTTTCATGAGCTAGGTATAGTATTTCTTAGTTTTACTGATAACCTTTTTAGAGTTTTAGAGAACTAGATGATATAATTCAGTCCAACTTTAAAGTTTAAAAAATATTTTCTACTGGCCACTGGAAATGCCATCAAACTGCATCAGAGATGATAATGTCTAATTTGTACACCAACAAAGAAATGCAAATTACGGGCTGGGAAGGCGGCTCAGTGGTAGAGCGCTTGCCTTGCATGCCTGAGGCCCTGGGTTCGATTCCTCACATAAGCAAAAAGAAAGAAGCCAGAAGCTGCGCTGTGGCTCAAGTGGTAGAGCACTAGCCTTGAGCTGAAGAGCTGAGGGACAGTGCCCAGGCCCAGAGTTCAGGCCCCACGACTGGACCGACCCCCCCCCAAAAAAAAAAGAAATGCGAATTACAAGGAGTTGGCAAATAAATCCTTAGATTGCTGCTTTTCTGCCAGTTAAGCCAGGTTGACATTTAAGTCACTGGAAACAAAAAGTGGAGGAGCTGCATAGAAAAACTCCTAGTAGCTTAGGCAAACAATTCAAAGCTTGATAAGAGACACATTTAAACATAACCAGCACAGACAGCTTCCACAAAGATACTAATTTTAAATTTAAAAGTTGGCCTGAGCATAAAATTTAAAATTCACTAATAATTTGGTTGCAAATAGAGCATTCAATTCAAAATTGAAGTAAATTTTGTCATTTAGACTAAAACATGAAACGGGAAGAAGCGCCAATTTAAAATCTAAAAGTTTATATAAACCCATCCAATTTGAAGACGTCCTATGTATCACTTAGGAAGACTAGACTTCCTGCCTATATTAATGAATCACATCAAATTAGGAAGTTTCAATAACAAGGCTGTAGATACATTGAAACCCCTTTTATATTAAAAGTTAAAATGAAAGACAAATCCAGAGTGAACGTAAGTGATTGCAAAATATAATGCAATTTTGAACAAAATTATGAAAATATACAAAATTGATGGGCAACACAACTAGGCATTTGTACATCTTCCATTACGTGGAGAACACTAAAAATGTCTCTTCCTTTTATCCACAGAGATATATGATTTAAACCAAATGTTTCCTATGGAGAGTCTTAACTTAGGATCTCAGTAGTATAAAAAGCAATCATTTTTCAGTCTGTAAACAGTAGTCGTGGTTTCTTTCCTTAGCTTTTTTTTTTTAAATATGAATTTACCACACAAAAACAAAACAAAAAACCTATACAAACCATAAACAGCAGCAGCAGCACTGGGTTATTTGGGAATTCTCTTCAAATAGCAATGACATACAATTGCTGGGAGATGGTGGTTTTACTCACGTAAGAATATATATATATGTATATATATTTAACTGTACACAATTTATAGTGCATGAGTTTTCAGAACAGATAAAAAGGTAGCTATTTCTGCATAATTTCCTTCTTTTTTACAATTATCTCAAAATGTTAAGAATCGGATCTAACTGAAAAGCTACATTTAGTAGGAAAATCAGCAAGTAACAAAGAGAACGTAACTCCAGTCTAATGTTGTGTGTCAGTAACACTGGCAGAGGTCCTAGATGTCCCTGGGCAGGAGAAAGGTTAAAGACCACTGGTCATGCGGTGCCCTTAGGACGACTGCCAGCCCAAGTGCATGCTAGATTGATTTCAGAGTGTTTCTATTTGTATAGGAACATCATTCCCAGAACATGTGCCATATATACAACCCCTCCCTGCATACACACACAGTCCATCTGAAGTAGGCCATAGATCATGAAATATGTTGTTAAAGGAGTCACAATCAAAATGTTCAATTCATCTTTTTTAAGATCTTCCTTTTAGGATGGATCTATGACACTGTCTACTAATTTATATCAAAAATAGTATTTTACAATTACTCAATGGTATAGGCTTTCCAACAAGTCCTATTTTTAACAGGCCATAGAGTAATTTCTAAAAGTTCCCATGAAGTTTAAACAGTTTTTAATCACCATATCAAACTGTTAATTTAAGAAAGTTAAGATGAAAGACAAAATGCAGGCTCTGTAAAGATTTTCCCAGCTGGCTTTTAGTTGCTTTAGAAATGACCCCATTTCACTGGAGCAGCATGTAGGAAGGGCTGTTCTTATCTACCAGACCCATCCTCCACCAGATGCGTACAGTTCCTCATCAAATTCATTTCTTCACTCGTATTACAGAATTACCAACTCAATATTCAGGTAACAAAGACCAAAAACAAGCAGGGATTCAAACACCAAAAAAAAAGTTGTCAAACTGAAAATTGTGTAACATTTTCAAGAGCAATTTTTATCTTTTTCTACCAGGCAAACCTCTGGAGCCACAGGTCTTGGGACTAGACTTGCAGGGAAAGTAAATAGCATCCCGGTGTGAGTCTCAAAGCCTCAAGAAAGTGAATCAAACATCAAATCCATTAGATAATCATTTCTTTTGTCAGCCTAAAACTTAAAACCCAGATTAAATCCATAATATACAATTCCTTCCTTCCCAAATCCCAGACTTAAAAACACTAAAAAAGTATATCTTATTTTCAAGCATATATACACACATATAAGAACCACCTGCAACAGATGACTCACAAAACCAATGGAATTAAGTATCTGACTCACCACGTAAGTTATATACACCTTCTCATTAGCCTAGTGATTCTCATCTTCGCTAAATGGATGACTCCAGGAGGCTTATGAAGTGACCTGTACTGCTTTCTCAAAACAGCTGGAAATTAACAGCTTTTCCTGTCTCCCTGAGACTTAACTCTCAAAGAAGCTAGGACAGGGGATGTCTTGGCTATCAAGATTATTAGACTGAAGACGAGCACCTGTGGTCATCTTGACGGGTGCTTTCAATGGCAGGCTCTAATTGCAAGCCTCCTGTGAGGCCCTCAGTGGACCTGCCATGGCTTCCGTGGGAGTTGGGAGTTGGGAGTTGAGAAGCCTCGGAATGAGACTGCAGCTGTGGGAGGGCTCCATCCCAATCTTGCCTCCTCTACTGCCTTCTGCCTCACAGCTCAAGGAACAGAGCAAAACTCCTACTGTCAGTATGGAAGGACAGCTCAGCTGCTTCAAAGTGGATGCTCTACACCTCAGTTCCATTGCTGCTTTTGTAGAACACCACCTCCCCCGAGATGTGTCTGGTGATAGGAGGGAAGAAGAGGGGGGGGGGGTTCTCTTGTTGCTGCCACATACATATGAACATGTATAAAAAGTTGTCGAACCCACTTCAGGGCTCCTGCTTCTGCTTTATATACAATAATTTAATCAGTTGTACATATTTAATACCTCAAAAAATTAATTCACGATCAAAGTCCATGCATTTTATGAGGAAGTTCTGGATTAAAACGATGGTCAACTAGTGTGGCTTTTGCTGGGAAGATGGTTTCATCGTTTTCAGCTGTTGTCATCAAGGCCTGTGGATTACCTTCTTAAATCTTTAGCTTCTTTGTGGTCTCAAGTCTTTTTTTCAGCAGCTCCCCTGTCTCCAGGAGTGAGTGCAGGTAACTGCTTCTCACCTTCCCTTGAACAGTCTTTGAAACCTTTCTTTCTTCCTACAAAGACAGTCAAAAAATAAGCAGTCTCGCTCAAAATTCATTCTCACAAGTTAGAATTCCTCAGATAACAACTCACTGCAAGTGCCATTCGAACAGGAATTTTCTATGTCAAAGGGTAAAACAAAAACAAACAAGCTCAAGCCGGATGCAAGTGGCTCATGCCTATAATCCTGGCTACTAGGAGGCTGAGATCTGAAGATCATGGTTCAAAGCCAGCTGGGGCAGGAAAGTCATCTCCCCATAAACTACACAGAAAAGCAGAAGTGATGCTGTGGCTCAAGTGGTAGAGCACTTGAGTAAAGAGAAGCTCAGGGACAGAGTCCAAGCCAGGCAGAAAAGTCCATGATTCTCTTATCTCCAATCAGAAGAAAACCCAAAGTGTCATGTGGCTCAAAAGTGGTAGTGTTAGCCTTGAGAAAAGGGCTCAGGGACAGTGCCCAGGCCCTGAGTCCAAAGCCTGACTACCCACCAAAAAAAAGGAACTACTTCCCTACACCAAGCTCCCCCCAAAAAAACTACTGCCAAATTACCTTCTAGTCTCCAGTCTTCAAAGGAAAGAATACTTTTTCCTTGTGATAAAAGGCAACATTTAAATATATACACTGAAAAATATTGCTGGTTTTCTATATCTCTTACCAGAGAGAATGAAGTATCTTCTAAAATAAGTTCTTCAAGCTTAAGTGCAATTAGATGTGCTTCAAGCCCTTTAACATGATCCACAACATTGGAGATTAAAGTCTGAAGTCCAGTAACATAGTCTTGGAAACTGGTGAAGACAGGCGGCTGGGATTAAAAAGATTAAAGGGGAGCTAAAAGATTATCAAACATTTCCAGAGTTTACATTACACAATGTGTACTAACTTCATTATACCAGTACTCAATGCTGTTAACAACAGAAATAGGGCTGGGAATGTGGCTCAGTGGCAGACTGCTTGCCTAGCATCCATGAAGCCCTGGGTTCCAATCCTCAGTACCACATAAACAGAAAAAGATGGAAGTGGCGCTGTGGCTCAAGTGGTAGAATGCTAGCCTTGAGCACAGAGGGGCTCAGGGACAGTGTCCAGGCTCTGAACTCAAGCCCTATGATTGGCAAAAACAAAAAACCAAAGCCAGAAATACAGCAACACAGCACAGCCAGGCACAGTGATGCACGTGAGAGGTATAATATGCAACTGTGGGCCCAGCGGTGTAGGAAACAAATAAGATGGAGGCCAGCCCTGGCAAAGACACTTCTTGAAAAATAATGAAAATAAGCCGGGCGCTGGTGGCTCACGCCTGTAATCCTAGCTACTCGGGAGGCTGAGATATGAGGATCGCAGTTCAAAGCCAGCCCAGGCAGGAGAGACCGTGAGACTCCTATCTCCAATAAACCACCAGAAAACTGGAAGTGGCGCTGTAACTCAAGTGGTAGAGCACTCGCCTTGAGCTGAAGAGCTGAGGGACAGCGCCCAGGCCCAGAGTTCAAGCCCCACGACCGACAAAAAAAAAAAAAAAATGAAAATAAAAAGGCTGGGGGCATGGCTCAAGTGATAGACTGCTTGCCTGGCACACAAAGGCCGAGTTCAAACCCGAGACGCACACACACATGAGCACTCTTGCTTTCTCTTTCTCTCTCTCTCTTGGAGAAAGAATGCCTATAAGATCCTTAAGACTTATACAACATGGAGGAAGAGAGAGAAAAGGCAGGCAGCCTGCAATGAGATTGTGACTTAATTTTCTGATACTACCATGATGATGCTAGTTTCTTTTTTCTTCTTTTTCTTTTTTTGTAAATTTAGTTTGAACGGTCGCAGGATGCTCTCACAGTAACTGGATACCCAAAGGATAATAGAAATAGTCTGAAAGAGGAAAATTTGCAAATTCATCAATTAAAGATTATACTCAAGATTATCTATCAGGCAGTTAAAGGCAAAGGATTAAACAAATTCTAACTGGTACTTATTTACGTATCTTTTCCATTTCCGTTCTCAATTTCCACTCTCTTTTCTATAATCACATGTTGATCTAGGTGTTAAGGGTTGCATGTGAGGCGTTCCCTAAAATAGCTCATGGGTTAAAGGCTTAAAAAATCTAGCTGGCAGTGCTGGCAGGAAAACAGGTCTGTGAGGGTCTGTATACTTGTCCCACCTCTTCCTGTCTCCCTCTCTTTCTCACTGATTCTTGGCTGCTGAATGGGAAGAGCATCCTACTCTACTGTCCCTACCCTTTCTGCCTCTCTGCTTCCTGGCCGTATAGATGAGCAGCCTCCTCTAGTGTGACTACCACCACCATACTCTGCCCCACAGAAGCCCACAGCCACAAGCTGAAACTTCTGAAACTGTGAGCCGAAAAAATTGTTCCTCCTTTTAAGTTGTTCTTTCAGCAACCAAAAAACCAAAGTCACCAGGCCTCTATCTACTCAGACTAGTGTAATAGCCTAACACTTTATCCTTTCTACTGGCTGCCCAGCTCGAAGCCACCCTCCACTCCACTCTGGTTTTCTTTAGCATTCCTATAGAAGAGGGGTTCTACAACTCTCTACTCACACAGTAAAAGTCCAAATTCCTAGGCATGGAATCCAAAGGTTCTTATGGCTCTCTGCAAACACTTACCAGGTAAGATACTATCTTACCTACACACCTTACGGAGGAACAGGAAGTATCTCTCCCTGTATTGATCATTTGGATGTCTCTTCCTATGTTACGGTGTTTATATGTACATGTATGTGTAGTTACTAGTTATTTGCTTACTACCTATCTCTTAGGCAGTCACCACGTGCTAGTCACTAGAATAGTATATACTGCCTTCAGGAAATTACACGCTAAAAGGGGGAAAGAAAACAAATGAAAAAAAGGAATAGGATACTGGAAAGATACTGGATGACAAGGTCCTTCTCATTTAAAAAAAAGTTCTACTGTCAAGAACGGTGATGGAAACCTACAGTTTTAGCACTTGGAAGTTTAGCACATATAGTTATAGCATGAAATAAAATGATCATGAATTTGAAGCCAGCCTGGGCTGTGTAGTAAGACCTTTTCTAAAAAGCACATCTGTGCAAATATAACAGTGATATCCCCCGCTGTATAATTAACATAAGCTAAACAATTAAATATCAACTAAGAACTCCTGATTTAACAAATACAGCAAAAGGATGGGGATGGGGGCTGTAGATGTGAGCTAAGAGCTTTCCATCTACAAGTGCCTTCTATACTAACCCATAGATTCCTTTATACTGCAGAGTATCTCAGTAAACAGCAAACAATTTAAAAAAGCTGGAATGATTTCCTTAAACTACATCTAAGAGAGTCAGAAAGGATAATAGAGATTGGGGCTGGGAAGGTGGCTCAGTGGTAGAGCACATGCCTTGCATGCCAGAGGCCCTGGGTTCGATTCCTCAGCACCACATAAGCAAAAAGAAAAAAGCCGGAAGTGGCGCTGTGGCTCAAGTGGTAGAGCGTTAGCCTTGAGCTGAAGAGCTGAGGGACAGCGCCCAGGCCCAGAGTTCAGGCCCCATGACCGGACCCAAAAAAAAAAAAAAAAAAGAAAAGAAAAAGAAAAAAAGAAAGGATAACAGAGAGAAAACAGCTAGACTTAAGAATAATTCTGGAGAATCTGAGATGAACAAAGCAACTTTAAAGTTCTACCTACTAACCTGAATGAAATATTAAGATTTGTAAAAGGAATTCATTTAGAAATTTATTTAAACTGGGCTGGGAAGGTGGCTCAGTGGTAGAGTGCTTGCCTTGCATGCATGAGGTCCTGGGTTCGATTCCTCAGCACCACATAAGCAAAAAGAAAAAAGCCGCAAGTGGCGCTGTGGCTCAAGTGATAGAGCACTAGCCTTGAGCTGAAGAGCTGAGGGACAGCGTCCAGGCCCCCGAGTTCAGGCCCCACAACCGGACTCCTCCCCCCCCCAAAAAAAATAAATAAAATTAACTCTCCACAAAGCAGCTGTTTCTTAAAAAAAAAAAAAGCTTTTTATTTCCTTTAATCTCACTTTTCAACTTAAATCAAACATCAGAATGTAGTTTTCAATAAAAAAACATGTTGGGCTCAGCGCTGGTGGCTCACACCTTTAATCCTAGCTACTCAGGAGGCTGAGATCCAAGGATCGTAGTTGGAAGCTAGTCTGGATAGGAGACTCCTATTTCCAATTAACTATTCAGAAAACAAGAAATCATGCTATGGCTCAAAGTGGTAGAGTGCTAGCCTTGAGTTTAAAAAAGCTTAGAGTCAGTTCCCAGACCCTGAGTTCAAGTCCCATAACAGACAAAAAAAAAAAAAAGAAACCAAAAACCACATTCATTACAGGTCTATAGTCTTCACATATAAATAACTGCCTTAAAATTTATATATACTAGGGCTAGACATTAGCTAAGACATTTCAGGTATGTCATGGACACATTAACTTTAAGACTGAGTGAATGACATGTAAGAACTTGTGTCACTAAGGACTGAATAACCAAGAGTACACTGTGCAAACACCTCTTTACAGCATGCCATGTCTGATGCTGTACTCTTGACTATCTTTTAATTTTTCAGACATGCTTCATCTGAGCAATAAAGTAAAAGATGGTTTGAGAAGAAAAGCCCTTACAGATCTAGAATTCTAAACAATTTCATTCCTAGAAATTAAATTCCAAAGCAATAATCAAGTATCCAAATATCCCAATACATGAATTTCAGTTATGATTATAAATGTAAGAAATAATCCTAACTACTCAAGAGGGTACTACTGAGAACAAATCCAAAGATTCTTATTTTTAATTAATTAGCAAAATACCAGACTGGATGGAAAAAAGGCTCAAGTGTTAAGAGCACCAGCCATAGGCAAAAAAGCAAGAGAGCACAAGGCTGAGTTTAAGTCCAGTAACGGCCCAAGAACAACAACAACAAACCTATTGCTAATATCCATAGACAATTCAGGAATACATGGGTTACTTACCTTTTAACTGTTCTAGTAAATACTTAAGACTATTCTCTACTCGCTCCTGTATCTCCACTGTATCCTCTAGAATTGGGGGGAAAAAAATAGCCCTTTTCAGATTTTCAAATAACATAAAGCAGAAAGATCAACATCTGGGAACAAATCATGAGCAAGGACCTTCTTTATCACTAAGAACAAGACATCTAAATTCCATTATTCATGGTGGGGATGGGGAGGGCAGAAAATGACAGAGGGAAAGGAAAAGAAAAAGAAAGGTACCAGGGCTGGGAAGGTGGTTCAGTGGTAGAGTGCTTGCCTTGCATTCATGAGGACCTAGGTTTGATTCCTCAGCACCACATAAACAGAAAAAGCTGAAAGTGGTGCAGTGGCAAGTGGTAGAATGCTAGTTTTGAGCTGAAGAGCTGAGGGATAGCATGCTCAGGCCCAGAGTTCAGGCCCCACAATCGACCAAAAAAAAATAGGTACCACCTAATGACCTTTCTGCCAAAGGAGCATGTAAAATTGTGTAAAACGATTTGAAATCCATGTGATTGGGGTACTTTAAACCTGTTAGGCTTGTAGAATCTACAAACCATATGCAATTAGGGGAAAAAAAATACAAACAAGTCGGCACCAGTGGCGCATGCCTGTGAATTTTAGCTACTCAGGAAGCTGTGATCTGAGGATCACAATTCAAAGCCAGCCCTCACAAGAAAGTCTGAAAGACTGTTATCTCCAATTAACTACCCGAAAACTGCAGGTGCTGTTGTGGCTCAAAGTGGTAGGGCACTAGCCTTGAGCAAGAAAGTTCAGGGACAGGGGCTGGGAAAGTGGCTCAGTGGTAGAGCGCTTCCCTTGCATGCATGAGGCCCTGGGTTCGATTCCTCAGCACCACATAAGCAAAAAGAAAAAAGCCGGAAGTGGCGCTGTAGCTCCAGTGGTAGAGCGCTAGCCTTGAGCTGAAGAGCTGAGGGACAGCGCCCAGCCCAGAGTTCAGGCCCCACAACCGGCCCCAAGAAAAAAAAAAAAAAAAGAGTATCTAGAAGTACCTAGAAGCTCTTCCCCTTTTAGATCTAACACAACTTTAACACAGAGATGACCTCTCACGTAGCGCTTTGAAACCTGTCAGATATTTCCAGAACAACTTCCACCTTGCATCTATCTATTGCACCTGTTTCTAAATGTGAAAACTTAAATTTTATTCATTACTAGGTTTTCACTGGCAAAAAAACAACAAGAAAGTATATTTGTGTATACTTACCTAAACCATTGGTATCCAGCTCATAAATATCATTAATGAGATAAAAGGAACTTATCTGGCATTGGGAACAGCCAGAATTAAAGAATCCACTCATTCTGGTGGGTACAGGACCAAGGAAAGGATACTGAAATGAGAAACAATGCTGTCCTTTAATCCATGCAAATTAAGAAGACACTATAAACTATTAGGTAAAACTCAATCTGCCCGGGCCCTGGTGGCTCACGCCTGTAATCCTAGCTACTCAGGAGGCTGAGATCTGAGAAGCCAGGTTCAAAGCCAGCCCAGACTGAGACTCTTATCTCCAATAAATCACCAGAAAACCAGAAGTGGCGCTGTGGCTCAAGTGGTGAGGGCTTGAGGGACAATGCCCAGGCGCAGAGCTCAAGTCCCACAACCAACCAAAAACAAAAAAAAACAAAAAAACAACTCAAAGTCCTATCTTTTAAAAGACAGTCTGAGTGTAACTACTGTAAATAGCAAATATATATTGATACCTGAATTTCCTTCTCAATGAATCGCTTTCCCATTTCCACAGCTACCTCCAGCTGCTGAAGGAGCAAGCGGAGAATATCAATCCGGGAGGACACACCATTCTCAGCACTTTTCTCAGAGTTCTTTGGCTCCATGGGGTGGTTGAGGCTGGGAAGTCCACTAATAAGCCTTAATGTGAGGGAGCGGATCCTTAACCACAGGGTCTCTTCTTCCAAGGAAAGTCTCTTATGTTCTTCAGAAACATCCCTTAAACAGAAACATCTGTTTTATTCTAACCTGTTGCCTTCAAACCTTTCAATATCACTTTCACCAAGATGCCTCTGAATGGTCTCTCAACTTTCATTTACTGTCTGACTGATTTTAGACAAGCAGAGAAACTACTGATTCTCATTAATTTCACTGTCAATAAAATGGGCATGATAACCTACCTAATGAGTCATTCATTCTTTCTCTTAAGATCTTTTTCTCTGATGTTTAAAATACTACATGATAGAGGCTCAAGGTTAGAGCCCAGGCCCTGAGTTCAAGCCCCAGGACTTGCCCCCCACCAAAAAAAAAAAAAAATCCAGGCACCAGTGGTTCACGCCTGTAATCTTAGCTACTCAGGAGGTTGAGGGGTTCAAAGCCAGCCCGGAAGGAAAGGCCATGAAACTCTTATCTCTAATAAAAACCACCAGAAAACCGGAAGTGGAACTGTGGCTCAAGTGGAGAGTACTAGCCTTGAGCTGAAAAGCTGAGGGACAGCACTCAGGCCTAGAGTTCAAGCCCCATGACCGACCAAGAAAAAAAAAAAGTTCTTACCAGTAGAGCTACAGTTTTGAGCAAAAAAGCTAAAGGAGAGCACCCAGACCCTGAGTTCAATCTTGGTACTGGTACCCCCCCACCCAAAAAAAAAATAGAGTAAGATAGCTACCGAATTCCAATAACAACAGCCATTGCTTAAAAATTGGCGTTGAGCCTATTAATCCATCTGGAATTTATTCTGATCTGAGCTGTGAAATACATTTAACCTTTAGATTTGCCACAGTCCTAATATAGGGTGAGACATTATCTTCTTCATGTGGCTTTACTTACATTTTCTGATCCCAACAACATACCACATTTACATCAAAAGGAGACTTTTATTCATTTTTTCATGTAAATCTTAGATCCATCCTGATTCTTTCAAAACTAATTCTTGAGGTTGAATTCTTGAGGTTGAGTTCCAGTTACCTGTCTTTTGGATCCCAGCTGAAAAAAACATTTAGGTCTCTGTTGTCTCGCAAATCTTCCCATGGAATGTCATCTTCTTCTGGCCTAAGATTCATTGATTTTATACTTTCTGCTAAGCTGCTTGATCTGTAATAAAGATAATTATGTTTTATTTCCATAACAAAGCAGTCATGAAAAATTAGGACTTTTTTCCATTACAAAGAAAAAAGGGGGAAGAGGAAAAGAAGCTAAGGAGTAAGGCTCACATAAAATAAAATACAACACAGCAAGAGAAATACTCCTTAAGTCCAACCAAGACAAAGACCAGCACTAACTTCTGAGAGCCCTGCTTGTAGAAGAGGGAACCTGGTGAGTATATATGGGCCAGGACATGAGGACCACAGAACGTCAGCTCTGTGCGAGGTGTAACTGCTCCACGGTTCTTCACGACAGGCTCAAGAGTCTGTGGTTCCGTTTCCACACTCTTACTCCCACCCCATTTTCCCTCAATTTAAATGGCAATGATACCCACAGTGGCTTGGAGCATCAGATCTAACCCCTTAGCTTCTGTGACTGTAAGTTCCTTATGAAATACTTACATATTTGCTTCAAGTAGAAGGTCTAACAGCATCCGTTCAGTACGGACTTGTGCAAAATGAAGAGAATTATTCAGCCTGTTCCTAAAAGCGATAAACTCTGGGATCTTCTCAAATGCACCATATTTGTAAGCTTGAATGATATATTCTGAGGTCTAAGAAGGAAAGATATCACCTTCGTGTAAATATTTCACAAGTCAGACAATGTAAGCAAAGCTTCTATTTTTGGTCAGTAAAAACACAATACTTGTGGCTAAAAGTAAGGCTTTGAATCTGATCTTTAAAGGTCTTGGTCACCGAGCTTTAAAAAATAGTATTTTTCTTCCTTTAGTAGCTGAGTCAACTGTCCCTTTTCTTAGTGTTCCCAACCACAGTGGCCCAATGGCTAGCACCTCACAGATTCTGGGCAATCCTGCCTCTCAGTGCAGTAGGACTGATGGTATCAGTCAAAAGGCCCATTGTGCCATTCTGGAAGGGATTTACTCCATGTCTGTCTGCACCACAATAATCTACATTTTTATACAAAGATTCCAAGGATGCCAGAATAATACAGCCACACCCCACCCAGAGTGAAAACGAATTTCCTTCAAAAAAAAGGCTGATCTCTGTTTCTTTCTGTCTGAACACAGCACCAGACACACAGGGCAGATTTGCATTCTTTCAGGATAGAAGACACTAAACAAAGACTCATAAAAACTCATGTCAGAATCCGTTCTGACAAAGACTTCCTTCCACAACCAACTTTCTATCCATCCAGACTACCTAAGATCTCTGCTTGAGATTTCCAAGTAAAAGGAACACTCGCCACATGCATTTTAATCGAGATTAAAAATGGATACATATGAAATGGTACAGAACAGAGGCAAGATAAAGAATTGTCAATGGGAATTTCCATGGGAATCCTGGCAACATCAAAGGCACGCTCAGGGAAGAACAGTTCACGGAAATGGGCCTATGCCATCAGGATCAGAAGACAGTGGTCACCTTTTTGGCCAAGAAAAAGATTTAGCTCAAAACTTTCCCCAACAAAGATCCTTTCTAGAAAAGCTGGCCTTTTACATAGCCTCAGCTTGTCAGCTCGACCCCCAGCTCTATTGTGTCTGAGTAATTTGCCAAGTAGGAAAATAGGCCAATAGTCAACAACATACCCTCTGATACACAGCCTCGCAGGGTTCATTTCAGGCCGCGGGATTGCGCCGCGGGCGCTGCTAATTCAACTGCATTCGATGCGGCTTTTAAACCCCCATGGGACACCTCGGCGAGCTGTTTGCCTGCAGTATCTGGAGAAATTAAAGACGGACGGACACAAGAAAATTAAAAAGATTACTTGTGATCCTGTATGTTTAAAGAAGGACTATCTGAAAAAAGCTCAACTGCACCTTCTAGCTTGATGGAGGACAGTGAAATGCCCCATCAAGCGGAGGCCAGTAAGTTAGTCAATCCTACAGCCCCTGGGCTTAGAAAACAGCGCAAGCTTTATTACCAGCTCTTGCAATAGGGAGTTACAACTGGAAAAAAACTGGGAATATTTGATTGAGTAATCGAAATAAGATATATGATTTTTGCAATTCCAAGCACATTTATAAACTCCAGCTCCAAAATATGCTATGGTTAAAGGAGAAAACCCATCCTTCGCCAAGCATAGGGGCAGTTTTATTTCTGAGTGGTCCATGAAATACCACTTTAGGAAAAAACATATATTCGTTTCAAAAAAAGACCAGGCAGTGTAACTCCCCGCTTGTGTCATTTAGATAGTCCTCCTTAAACACAGCAGCAAAGTACCGCTGCAGAGCCAGACAAGGAATTGGGGAAGTGCCGCTATGGGAGAGGACGGCCCCCACGGGAACTGCAGGCAAACCCAGAAGCCACAGGCACTGTAAAGACTTTTGAGTGGAGTATGGTGTCCGTAATCTACAACTTATTTACCGGTGAGGCTACTTAGATCCCGGAGAAAGTCCTGAAATGAACCCTGGTTACTCTAAAAAATAGCAAAGTGCATGGACATCAGACCCTAAACAATAACCTTTATGAATACAAGTACAATATAAGTACAAACATTTCAGTCATTTTTTGGATAGGAAAATCTACCACTGAAGGAGGCATCAGAGGCTTACACCTGTAATCCTAGCTACTCAAAAGGCTGAGGTCGGAGGGTTGGCTCAGGCAGACACAGCCTTCACTCTTCATTAATCAGCTGGAAATGGAAGCATGACCCAAGTGGTAGAGTATCAACCATAAGCAAAAAAGGTCAAAAAACCTAGCAAGAGCTCAAGGCCCTGAGTTCAATCCCCAAAACTAGCGTGCACACACCACGCAAGTAAATCAAATGTATTTTTAACCTCCTCATAAACGCAGAAGGAAAGCCAAAATCATGAGATTTGATGAAACTACTTCTTTTGATTTTCAACAAATGAAATTCCTTGAAAACCTAAGAAGGCAAGCACAGACACTGGACAGGAGTGAAAACTCAGCCTCAGCCACCCACCTACATGAAGAGATTTACAGACCCAATGTTGTAAGGGACACCAACCCGCCTCAAGGTCAAGCCTTGTGCTCAGGGGCTGATATGCACTTCCTATTCTCTCTAGTCAGAAGCTGTGTCTGATCAGCTATCAGTCACCAAGTAACAGGGAGAAGGGTCTGAGAGGCCCTGTCTCCTACATGCCTCAAGCTCTCCTTTGCCGCTCCACTCATGGAGGCCAGGCCCTAAAGTCTGTTAGAACATAACCACAAGAAACTGGGAACAAGGAATCTGTATTTAGCAATGCTTCTGCACTGCCTTCCATGTAATACACTCCACTGAAAAACCCGATGGCAAGTAAAACAGCCATGGCTTTTATAGTTAAAAAGCATTTTTAAAAATTCAAGAATGCTTCCAAGAAGATCTCCAGAAGGTAAATTCCTCAGCTGCAGAGAGAACATAAGAATGGAAAGCTATGGGCAAATATCCAGCACCCCCAACTTCCAGGCAGGAGATGTGAAAACCAAGCTGGCAGTGACCTCACCGAAGACATGCCTACTCTCTACCCTACTTCTTGTGTAGCTAGACCAAGGGTAGCTGACTGACAGCATTATTATTTTTCCCCCAAAACCTCCACTTAACCCAACTTGGCGCCCAAGTTGGCTTGCAGTAAACCTACAGTGCAAGTCCCATCCTAGAATTATGGCACAAAGAAGCTCTCAGTTACTACTACATACAAAATACAATTGACCAAAGTTTCTTAAAAGTCCTTCAACTGATCAGCTTCATAATCCTACATACATTACCTCTAATTCTAACTGCATGCACCATTGGCACAGAGCACAGTGAACTTCACAAATTAAGGTAACAGGAACAAGGCGCTAGCAGACAATTCCACAGCATCCCAGGCTCCAAGCTTCTGGGCTACACTATAGCCTTAGAGAAAGGCTCTCAAAGACACATCTGAGAGGCGAAACACTTCTTAGTCTGTTAAATATCCGTTTTCAGTGTGACTTTCCAAGGACTCCATTGAACATATCCACATTTCAACATACATAATTAAGTCTACCTCTTTCCGAAGGACCTAGCCTAAGGACACCTGACAGTACTACAGCAGGGAGCCGTAGCACGTGTCCTCGAGACACAAGGTAGTGAACTTTGAAACCATGTCAGTCAACAGAAGAAATGGCTTTTTACTTACATCTTTCTGGTTGGAGTGGAAAAACCTGAGTGCGAAGTTACAGGACTGGGAGGCAGCAGCGTACTGACCTAGGGATGCGGCGTACCGGGTCAAAAGATAACTAGATTGAGAGAAAAGAAAAAAAACACACATTTTCTAACTCTGGTGGCAAATACATGCTTCAAATTACTATGGCAAGGCATACTATGCAAGGTCCCCAACCAAAATAAACTAATACACAGAAATAAATTAAAAAATAAAAATCAAAGTTCATTTGGCTTTATGGGAAACCTAAAGTTCCCTGCTATACTTTCTTTTCCTCAATAATGAATAGAACACAAAACTTGTAAGAAAACATAATGCTGTCTTTTCCCCACTTCCGCCCCCATCAGCTATAGGGCTTGAATCAGGGAGTAGGGGCTGTCCCTGAGCTATTTTTTGGTCAAAGCTAGTGCTCTACCACTTTTGAGCCACACACCCACTTATGCTTTCTGAGTGGTGATAAAGAGTCTCCTGAAAACTTTTCTGCTCCGGCTGGCTCCAAACTGTGATTCTCAGATCTCAGCCCCCTGAGCAGCTAGGATTATAGGCATTAGACACTGGTGCCTGGCTAATGCTGACTTCTTAAACATCACTGTAAGGGACATTAAATGACCTCAAGTAATAATAGCCAAAACCCAAATCTGAAAGGATGTCTCAATAAGAAGTATATGTGTATTATGTGTGTGACATAAACACAAATATGTATGTATATAGTATACACACAAAACAAATATGTATGTATGTATGTATACATATAAAAGGATATCTCAGGATTATAAAGTACATATCTCTATCTCAATGAGAAAGAAGACTTCAAAATAATGTGCTGCTGGATAGAGTGGCTCAAGTGTGTACTCCTGGCTACTCAAGGCTAAGATCAACAGGATCAAGGTTGAAGACCAACCCAGGCAAAAAGTTCACAAGACTTCATCTCAACCAGCAAAAGCTAGACATTGTGGTGCATGTCTGTCATTCCAGCTATCCTAGCTATTTATGAAGCATAAATACGAAGAATCATGATCCAGGAAAATCCAAGCAAAAAAATCACTACTCCAATAAGGCTGGCAACATCGCTCAAATAAAAGACTGCCTGCCTAACAAGGCCCTAGTTTAAACCTTAGTACCATCAAAACAATAAGATATGAAGCCAAGTACTGGTGGTTCACATTTGTGAATCCTAGCTACTCAGGAGGCTGAGATCTGCAGATCAAGGCAGACAAAGCTGAGAGACTCTTACCTTCCAATTAACCAGCAAAAAGTCTAAACTAGGGGCTGGGAAGGTGGCTCAGTGGTAGAGCACTTGCCTTGCATGCATGAGGCCCTGGGTTCGATTCCTCACCACCACATAAGCAAAAAGAAAAAAGCCCTAAGTGGCGCTGTGGCTCAAGTGGTAGAGCGCTAGCCTTGAGCTGAAGAGCTGAGGGACAGCGCCCAGGCCCAGAGTTCAGGCCCCACGACCCGACCCAAAAAAAAAGTCTGAACTAGAAGTAGGTTGAGGAACAGAGTCAAACCATGAGGGAAAAAGCCAAGCAAGAGCAAAAGCCCCAGTACTGGCACACAAAAAAAGAAGGTTCAAAATACATATAGTTTGAGTCAGGCACAGGTGGCTCACACCTATAATCCTAGCTACTCAGGAGACTGAGATCTGAGGTTCACATTAGAAGTCTGCCCAGGCAAGAAAATCCATGAGTCTCTTATCTCCAATTAATCACAGAAAAAGCCAGAAGTGATGCTGTGGTTCAAGTGGTAGCATACTAACCTTGAATAAAAAGCTCTTAGGGACAGCACCAAGGCTCAGAGTTCAAGACACCCCCCCCCCCGAATACATAATAGCTTGTCAGCACACATAGCATTAAAAGGCCCTGGGTTTAATCATTAGCATCAAAAAGAAACTGTATGTAGCTGGATGCTGTCCTTGGAGGAAAAAAACGTGACCATTTAATAAATGCAAATTTTTAAATTATCATAAAATCCTGGGTGATAAATGATCTGCAACAAGTCATAGTAGGTGCTAAATTAACATCATGAGCAGTTGTACTGCTCAAATCTAGTCAGAATCCTACATTGCCTTGCTGAGGTGGCTGCCTGCCCATTACTCAGAGTATATACTACCAACCCAATGGTATCATGCTGGATATGTTTAGCATCGAGGCTGGAGTAAAGATCCACCACCGGTTCAAATGCACCCAGCATACAGTAGATTCGAACAAGCAGCAATTTGAACTGAGCGTTGGAAGGGCTGTGGGCTAACCCTTCTTCCAGCAAAGTCACGGCCTGCCACACCGCAGTCTCATCACCTAAAACCAGAGTAGATCATTATCCCCTGATCTTGACAGCAGAGTTTCTCAAAACAAATAAAGAAAACCCTTTGATACCATCACCTCCCTTAAGTACTCCACAAATAATTTTAGGTAGCAAGTAATCAATTTTAGTTATAAACCTGTGAACTGAAATAGGAAATTTCCCTAATAACCCCTCAATTGTTAAGCTAATTCTTAAATATGCCCTCTACAAAAAACTCAAGAGTTGCTGGGCACCGGTGGGCTCAAGACTACAGTCCTGGCTACTTAAGAGGCTAAGATCTGAATAATGTGCTTTGAAGCCAGCCCAGGTAGGAAAGTCTGTGAAATTTTTAATCACCAATTAACCACCAAAAAGCCAGAAGTGGAGCTGTGGCTCAAGTGGTAGAGTGGTAGCCTTAAGTGAAAAAGTTCAGGCCCTGAGTTCAAGCCCAGGACTGGCACAAAAAATAATAAATAAACAAACAAATTAGAACTTACTCCAAAAAATGTACATCTGTGTATATAAAACTGTCTTAAGTAAATAGGCCCGTTCTGTTCCATCTACTTATCATATTGCCATTATCATAGCTTTGTATTATTCAAACACACCTGGAAACAAACTAGAGATGTATGAATTTAAAATCATCCTGATTACAGGTAGCAGGATAAATTTAAGTCTTGATTCCTTTATTAGAGCCACTGAAGAGTACAAGAAAGACCTAAAAGCATGAAGCAATTCTTGAGTTACATCCTAAGGAGAGAATCCAGTACTTACAGTCATTAAAAACAAGGAATCAGAACTGAGTTCTGGTGGCTCACACCTGTAATCCAGGCTGATCTAAAAATGGAGGTTCAAAGCCAGCTGAGGCAGGAAAGTCCATGAGACTCTTTAACTACCAAAAAGCCAGAAATGGAGCTGTGGCTCAAAGTGGTAGAGCACTAACTAGCCTTGAGCACAAAAGCCTAGGGAGAGCGCCCAGTCCCTGAGTTCAAGCCCCAGGACAAAACCGAAGATAATGATGTAACAGCTGGCAAAGCATATTGCAAATAGTTCAATCCAAAGGACAAAAAAACAAAAACAAAAGTAACATTGAAATCATCAGACTCACCTGTTTCTCTCCATACATCAATGAGCACGTGGACAGCAAGGAGACAGTAATAGTCAGAAAATTGCAATTCTGTTTTCAAACAGGATTTTCCTATGAGGAATTTAAAAAAAGTAACATTTGTTCATTTATTACTGTCCCAAAGGAGGTTTTTTTGTTTTGTGTGTGTGTGTGTGTGTGTAACATTTGTTCATTTATTACTGTCCCAAAGGAGGTTTTTTGTTTTCTGTGTGTGTGTGTGCGTGCGTGCGTGCGTGCGTGTGTGCGCGTGCGCACACCAATCCTGGAGCTATTTCTGAGCTGTTCTGTTTTGCTCAAGGCTGGCACTCTACCGCAGAAGACACAGTTCCACTTTTGGACTTTTGGTGTTTAGAACTAAGAGTCTCATGAACTTTCCTGCCCAAGCTTCAAACCTTGATCCTCAAATCTCAACGTCCAGCATGGCTAAAATTACAGGCATGAGCCACCAGACGCCCACCCAAAAGATTTTTTTTTTTGTTTGTCGGTGTGGGGCCTGAACTCTGGGCCTGGGCACTGTCCCTCAGCTCTTCAGCTCAAGGTTAGCACCCTACCACTTGAGCCACAGTGCCACTTCTGGTTTTGCTGAGGAATTGAACCCAGGGCCTCATACATGCAAGGCCAAGCACTCTACCACTGAGCCACCTTCCCAGCCCCCACCCCAAAAGTTTTTAAAGGAAGAAATGTGATGAGAAGAGGAAAGGGAAAAGGAAACACAAACAGGCTGAGTACCAGAAGAAATGCATAAGGGCTGGGGAAGCAGCTATGTGGTAGAGTTTTGCCTCGCATATGTGAGGCTCTGACTTCAATTCCTAGTTCTGTGCACTCTGGGTCATGAATGAAAAGATTATACTCAGCTAGACCAGAGAGAACGCAAGAGAACACACAGTATTTAGCCTGGACCCAATGTGAAAGTTTCAAAAGGTTTTTAGGTAAAGAATCAAGGCCCATATATAAATAACTATATTAATATCATACACCTTACTTCATCTATTTTTTTTTCTACCAGTCCTGGGGCTTGAACTTAGGTCCTGGATTCTGCCCAAATGTCTCTGTAGTGCTCTACCACTTAGGCCACAGCACCACTTTTGGCTTTTTCTGAATAGTTCTCTGGAGATAAGAGTCTCACAGGCCAGGCGCCAGTGGTTCATGCCTGTAATCCTAGCTACTCAAGAAACTGAGATCCGAGAATTGCAGTTCAAAGCCAGCCCAGGCAGGAAAGACCTTGAGACTCCAGAAAACCAGAAGTGGTGCTGTGGCTCAAATGGTAAAGTGCTAACCTTGAGCTGAACAGCTGAGGGAGAGCACCCAGGCCCAGAGTTCAAGCCCCATGAACGACAAAAAAATAAAAATTAAAAGTTTATTTATATATATATATATATATATAATGGCTTACGTGGTAGAGTGTTAGCCTTGATCAAAAGAAGCTCAGGGACAGTGCTCAGGCCCTGAGTTCAAGCCCTGGGAAAAAGAAATGTGTGTGTGTGTGTAATATTCCTTTTCTTAACTATAGAGAATATTAAAGCCTATATCTCCCCAAATATGACAATCATCAACTATGCAATTCATATAAAGCTCCATATAGCAGGAGCTATACTCCCAATTATAATGATCTTAAGCTCCCAGTGTGGGCAGTATCCCCACCCAATAAAATGTGCTCCTTAGCAAGTACAATGAGACATGTGGTGATGGCTGACCAAACAGCTGACTTGGAAGCATGAACAGGTCAGGCAAATACTGCACATCACACAAGGCTACTCACCAAATTCTAGTCCATGCTGGTACCTTAACATCAGTTCTCTGACCACACTCAGTTTCTGATTTTTATCCATAGTGTGGTACAAACCGAGTAACCTCGTCAGCTGCACCACACACAAATGCTGCTGCAGAGCTCGGATGTCAGCAGGCAGTGCAAGCTTATCATCTTCTGTGGGTGTCGACAAAGGAACGACTCCAAGTAACTGATTAATGAACTGCAGAATGAGAAAAAAAGGAATACAAATCTCAAACTGTAACTCCACAAATAGGAATGGTCTGGATAAAGCTGTCAGAAACAAAAAAACATAAATTCCAGATTTAATACACCATTTTCCATCTACTAACAGCTTATAAAGATGTCAGGAGTTGGGCTGGGAAGGTGGCTCAGTGGTAGAGTGTTTGCCTAGCATGCATGAAGCCCTGGGTTCCATTCCTCAGTACCACATACACAGAAAAAGCCAGAAGTGGCGCTGGCGCTATAGTTCAAGTGGTAGAAGGCTAGCCTTCTAGCAAAAGCAGCTCAGGGACCAGACAGCACCCAGGCTAAGTTCAACCCAAGTCCCGAGGAAAAAAAAAAAAAAGATGTCAGGGCAACACCAATGCTGTGACTCAGGTGAGACCAGCCCATTCCTTCACGGCTGTCCAAAACTATGACCTGTGCCCTTACTACAGAAATCAAAAACACCATAAAAACTATGACCTGTGCCCTTACTACAGAAATCAAAAACACCATAAACATGTGTCACAAGTTGTGACATCTTGAGTATGTACTAGAGTAATGAAAAGGTACTATAAGGAAGACTTAAAAAAAAAAAAAAGTAGCCAGGCATCAGTGGCTCACGCCTATAATTCTAGCTACTCAGGAGGCTGAGATTTAGGGATCGAGATTCATAGCCAGCCCAGGCAGAACATCCATGAGACTCTAAATATACATGAGAAAAGCCAGATGTGGAGCTGTGGCTCAAGTGGTAGAACACTACTCTTGAGAAAAAAGCCCAGAGAGAAGGCCCAGGCTCTGAGTTCAAGCCCCAGGACTGGCGCACACACACCGTAAACTGCATTTACAATAAGTTATTTTGTGGACAGTATTTGGGTTATGAACTCAGGGGCTTTGTGCTTGCTACCACATGATCCATGCCTTCAGCCCTTTTGCTTGCATTGTTTCTTGAATAGGGTCTCATATTTTTGCCCAGGTTGACTTAGCCTAAATCTTCTCATTTATACTTCCCTCAGTGCAGAGAACATTCATGCACCAACACACTCAGTTTTTATTGGTTGAGGTGAGTTTCTAGAACTTTCTGACCAAAGCTGACTTCTAACCTCCATCCTCCTTATCTCAGCCTCCTGAGTAGGGAGGATTATTGGTGTTGAGCCACTATGCCCAGTGATTTACAAATAAATTTGCTGGGGGTACAGGTCCTGAGCTCAGGTACTGTTCTGCTTTGCTTGCACTTGAGTCTCATCTCCAACTAACACAAAAATCTCCAGTTATCCCAGAATGAAATGATATAATGGGGGTAAGTCTCAAGTGACAGAGCCTAGTAAGCAAAAGTCCTGATACGGGGGTGTGTGGCTCCAGTGGCAGAAAGCCTGCCTTGCAAGCACAAAACCCTGAGTTGGATCCCCAATATCACCAGAAAGAGTAATTTTTAAAAAAGATTCCAATCACCTTCCAGGTGTTCATTCCCACTATAATTTGCCTTGAAGAGAAACTGTGCCTTTGATGTGATAGCACTCAGAGTACTTAGCTGACCAGCGAACTCACCATGTACCTCATGTTTGCTGTTCCCACACATTAAGGAAAGGAATCCCAAATGCTTAACCTAGTTTTCATCAACAAAATTCTGAAAGGTACTTACTTTTGTACACTGTGTAGCTGGCAATAGGTCAACAAACACTTTAAGGTCTGTAAAACAACACGGTTTATCTCCAAACATTTTAAAATACTGGAACATCAATTCTTCCGGGTCTCCTAAAAGGGAGAGAAGAAAGTCACTAAATTATCCATAAACTTTAGCAATTTCTAAATCAAATGAGTTTTATTTTATAGCATTCATTTTGCTGAGTGCTGGTGGTTCATGCCTATAACTACGGTTTGAAGCCAGCAAAGACAGGAAAGTCCTTGAGACTCTTTAACTCCAATTACCAAAAAAGCTAGAAGTAGAACTGTGCTTCAAAGTGGTAGAACACGCTGATGGCTCATGTCTATATCCTAGCTACTCAGGAGGCTGATATCTGAGGATCACGCTTCAAAGCCAACCCAGGCAGAAAAGTCTATGAGACTCTTATCTACAATTAACTACCAGAAAACTCAAAGTAGTGCTGTGGCTCAAAGTGGTAGAGTGCTAGCCTTGAGCAAAAGGAGCTCAGGGACAGTGCCCAGGCCCTGAATCAAGTCCCATGACTTAAAAAAAAAAACAAAAAAAACACCTCAGGGAAGCCAGGCTCCTATGGCTCATGCCTATAATCCTAGCTACTCAGGAGGTGATTCGAGGATCAGATTTCTCATCCAGTGGAAGCAGGAAAAGTCCATAAGACTTTTAGCTCCAATTAACCACCAAAAAGTCAGCATAGAGCTATGGCTCAAATGGTACAGCATTAGCCTTGAAGGAAAAAAAAAAAAAAAAGCTCGGGACAATGCCAGGTTCTGAATTCAAGCTCCATGATCAGTACAAAAAACAGTAATAATAAAAATATTAACCAGGCCAGGCACTGGTGGCTCATGCCTGTAATCTTAGCTACTCAGGAGGCTGAGAGCTGAGGACCCAGGTTCAAAGCCAGCCTGGGCAGCAAAGTCTCTGTAAGACTCTTAATCTCCTATTAACTACCAGAAAACCACAAGTGGCACTGTGTCTCAAGTGGTAGAGTGCAAGCCTTGAGCTGAAGAGCTGAAGCCCAGAGTTTAAGCCCCATGACTGAAAAATCATCATCATCATCATCATCAATGTAAAAAAGGGGCTAGCAGGCTCCAAATGGAAAAGCATCTACCCAACAAGCATGAAGTCCTGAGTTCAAACACCAGCACTTCCAAGGAAAAGAAGACATGACATCATAGCTATTCAACAAATGTGAAGATCAGGCTAATACCCATACCAGCACATTTGTAAGATATAAGCTGGTGAGTGGAAGAGGGAGCTAGGAAATAAAACAGGTATCAAGACAGATCCACAGACATTCATGTTCAGTTTGCAAAGAAAGTAAGCCTCCAGTTCTGTAGCTAGTATATCCAGTGAGGTCTAATAATGTAGCCCCAAAGAGGAAGCCAACACAGAACTAAACACTGGCTATGAATAAGCTACAAAGAGAATGACAGAAAAAGAGCACTGAATTTTAGGATGAACGGCCAAGAACCCTAATTAGATAATAAAATAGGTGGAGACCACAGGACAGATGACACACACTGCAGGCGCATTATCACAGGACAAGTGGCCACCGGAACACATGTGGACCAGCCCTAAAAAGGACCAAACGTTCAGTGATAATGAAGTTTTTTAAGTTTCTTTGGGGCTCTCTTTTTCAAAAGAATACTGAAAAAAATGACTATTTATTACCTAAGTTTAGTGAATGCCAGAATTTAATTGAAACTATGCGACAGTTACCTTAGGGAAGGCATTCACAACACTGAAAAGTAGCAACAATTCCTTCACTTCTGATTTGTGATGACTATAAGAACCACTGTACCAGAACATTTAAGGTTCCATCAAATTTCCTAAGGGTCTCCATTAATACTCTACCATTCTTTTGTCCCTGTGCTATTATCTTCACAAATTTATACTTTCTGGTCAGCTGCTAACTGCGCTAATTCTACCCAATATCCCTTTACTTTTCCTTCATGTGCTAGAAGTAAACCCAGAATCTGCTGAAGTAGCAGGCAAACGCTCTATCACTGAACTCTATCCTCAGACCTCCAATATTCTTTTGTCAAGAGTTAATAGTTTTGGTGAAAATAACTTTTCTAAAGCTTTCATCCATTTCATAAAACCAGCAAGTTCTCCTGGAAGCTGATTTGACTTTCTTATTGGGTTAGCAAAAGCATTGATAAAAACAGGAAGAAATAATAATATTTAAACAAGCTGTATTAAGTAAGGATTATCTTTGTAAGTGATTCTTCAGGCCAATATTGTGATACACACTTAGAAGTCCAGCTACTCAATAGACAGGAGACTGGGAAGACCAGAGTTGGAAGCCAGACTGCAAAAAGTTTACAAACCTCATCTCAACTAAAAAGCTGAATGTGGTGCTACATGCCTATGAATACAGCTACACAGGCTGTAGATGGGGGTATTATATTGTCCAAGGCTAGCACTTACAAAATTGCCATACCTTATCGAAAACATAACCTAAAGCAAAGAGAGCTGGAATGTTTGCATAGAAAATAGGTTTTTTAAGCCAGATGCTGCAAGCCAGATGCTGGTGGCTCATGCCCATAATCCTAGCTCCTAAGGAGGCTGATATCTAAGGATTATGGTTCAAAGCCAGCCTAGGCAGAAAAGTCCCCAGGAGACTCTTACCTCCCATAAACTATCAAAAAAGCTGGAAGTCTCGTCTCACTGTGGCTCAAGTGGTAGAGCACTAGCTTTGAGCATGAAGAGGCTCAGGGTCAGCGCCCAGGCCTTGAGTTCGAGCCCCAGGACCAGCAAAAGAAAAAAGAAAACATGCTTTAAGTGTAAACCCCAGTACCACCAAAAAATAAAAAAGAATAGTACATCGGGGCTGGAAAGGTGGCTCAGTGGTAGAGCGCTTGCCTTGCATGCCTGAGACCCTGGGTTCGATTCCTCAGCACCACATGAGCAAAAAGAAAAAAGCCGGAAGTGGCCCTGTGGCTCAAGTGGTAGAGCACTAGCCTTGAGCTGAAGAGCTGAGGGACAGCGCCCAGGCCCAGAGTTCAGGCCCCATGACCAGACCCCAAAAAAAAAAAAAAAAAAAAGAACAGTATATGATCCATTTTCCAGTGAACACTTTCAGATGACTTCAGATTGCTACACTTCACCATCACTGGAATCAGAGGCACTGAGGACATCCCTATGCCTGCTCCAGGGTCCACAAACACTGTACCACTTCTTACCCAGCTTGTACTCATCATTACACCCTTGACTTCGTAAACGCCTAATCAGCTCCAGTTTAGCCAGATGTGGTCCTCGGAGATGGCGAGAGCCTCTGGACTCCTCTGTTATCCGGTCTTCTATAAACTTCACAGCCTCTTCTGCTGAATAATGTACTTCTCCTTCTAAAGAGCTGGGTACAAACACATTAAAAAAGGTATTTTATTACCTCTACCATCCTTCCAAAAGGTTAAAGCCAAGTGGAATTCATTGTTTTCTTTGTGGGTAAGAGGGCAAGACGGGTTCATATTTGGTATCATTTTTGTTTGTCCAATGATAGGGATTAAACCCAAATGTCAACAACACTGCCTCAGAGTTACTCAGGGCTTGACCACTGTCCCTGAGCTTCTTTTGCTCAAGGGTAGTCCTCTACCACTTGAGCCACAGAACCACTTCCAGCTTTTTCTGTGTATGTGGTACTAAGGAATCAAACCAGATTTTCATGCATGCTAGGAACGCACTCTACTACTAAGCCACATTCCCAGCCTTCAAAGCTATCTTAAATCCACAACTGCTATTTTAGATCTCCTCTACTGTAATTCCTAGCTTAAACATTATTCCTGCATTCATTATTTTTAAAATATCCCATTTCTGGGCTGGGAAGGTGGCTCAGTTGGTAGAACGCTTGCCCTGCATGCCTGAGGCCCTGGGTTCGATTCCTCAGCACCACACAAGCAAAAAAGAAAAAAGCCGAAAGTGGCGCTGTGGCTCAAGTGGTAGAGCGCTAGCCTTGAGCTGAAGAGCTGAGGGACAACGCCCAGGCCCAGAGTTCAGGCCCCATGACTGGACCCCCCCCAAAAAAAATCCCATTTCTGTTTATTATAGTATTATCTATAATAAGAAAAAAGTAATAAAAAAACAAGTATCATCAATAGAGAAGTTAAATAAATCATCTCTAAAACAGAGGGAAAAAAAATGAGAGAAAAAAAATCTTACTTTGAAAGGATTTTACAGTTCAGACAATTCAATTAGCTTCTGCTAAAAAAAAAAAAAAAAAAAAAACCTATTTGAAAGTGCTCTTGTAATTCAGGAAAGATGACTTACTGTTCACCTTCAGCGGGAGGGGTCCAGGCCTCTTCAATCAGTCGAAAGACAGAATCGAAATAAGTCAGATAGAACTGCCAGTCATCTGAGCTAAAATCAGATTGAATGATACACACAGGATTAAATACAAGTTGTGATAAATCTGTCTTATGCACCATGTAGCATTACTTTTGTTCTAAGTTACGTTTCTTTGTAAGTAAGGAATGGTTCACCCATTCCTGTACAAACTCTGCAACTCTTAAGAGAATATCACTCCAGAAGCATTATCATCAAAGTGAAAGACTTAAAAACAAAAAACAAAACTAACAAACCTGTGTCCCTTCAAAAAAATAACCATGCTGGGTACCACGCCTGTAATGCAAGCTACTCAGGAGGCTGAGAGCTGAGGATCTCGGTTCAAAGCCAGCTCAGGAAAGGCCGTGAAATTCTTTTTTTTTTTTTTTTTTGGGTCCGGTCCTGGGGCCTGAACTCTGGGCCTGGGCGCTGTCCCTCAGCTCTTCAGCTCAAGGCTAGCGCTCTACCACTTGAGCCACAGCGCCACT